TGCGGGGCGTCCATGCGGCAGCCCATCCCGCGCGCGGGGCTCCCCGAGATCCAGCTCAGCGTCTTCAGCCGCGGCTGCAGCTGCAGGTGGGCGACGGGCGCGCGGCCGCTCTGAGCGGGTCCTGCGGGCGCACGGGGACGCTGGCTGCAAGCGCTGCATCGCCGGGACCCGGGACCTAGCACCCAGCACCCGGGACCTGGGACCCGGCACCTAGCACCCGGGACTTAACATCGAGCACCCGGCACCTGGGACCCGGGACCTGGGACCTAGCACCCAGGATCTGGGACCTAACATCCAGCACCTGGGACCTGGGACCTAGCACCCAGGACCTGGGACCTAGCACCCAGGACCTGGGACCTAGCACCTGGGACCTGGGGCCCAGCACCCAGCACCTAGCATCCAGGACCTCGCACCCGGGACCCGGCACCCAGCACCCAGCAACCACCACCTAGGACCTGGCACCCCGGACCCAGCACCTAGCACCCAGGGCCCGGCACCTAGCACCCGGGACCCAGCACCTGGCACCTAGTACCTGGATCCCAGCACACAGCACCTAGCACCTAAGACCCAGCACCTGGGACCTGGGATCTAGAGCCAGCACCCTGTACCCAGTTCCCAGAAGCCAGTACCTAGCACCTGATACCTGGAATCCAGCACCTAGCACCCAGTACCAAGCATGCGGCACCCAGACTCAGCACCCAGCACCTACCAAGAGAGGCATCTGCTGCACCGCTGGTCACACACAGAAGGATGCAGAAGCACAGCAGCGCTGACACGGTGGCCACCCGGGGACCAGGAACCTGCAGCTGACGTTGGAGGACGGGTGGGGCCGGGTGCTTGCAGTCGGGTCAGGAGCTGTCCTGCCTCAGCCTGTTCAGGACCTGCCCCTTCCCTCTCCGCCTGGAGCTCGGGGAGCAGAGCTTTGCAGCCGGGCCGTTGCGCCAGCCCTTTCCCGTCTGCCGTGACACAGCGTCCCCCAGACGCCCGGGTGCCTCACGCGCCTGCCCCTCGGCCCGGGCCCCGCCAGCCTTCCTGGCCCCGAGCGCACTGCGCACCCCGCACCCCGCAGCCCGCACCCTGAGCGGCGCCCCCCGGCCTCTGCCCCGGCCTGCAGTCCCGGCTTCGGCGCTCAGAACCGAGCCCGGGCCTCTCGTGAGCAGTGACGTTCCCAGCCCTTCTATAATTTTTATTTCTTTGCTAAGTTGCTCGTAAGTCGCTCGGCCTGAACGCAGACTCGGGGTTCTCCTGCCTCGGCCTGCTGCGGCGCTGGGATGCCGGGGTGCACCACCACGCCGCGTGCAGTGCATTTTAGGCCGCGCCCGGGACCCCGCTTACCCGCCGGCCCATGCTGGGGCTCCCTCCGCGCTCGGCCGGGGGTCCGCGTCGGTCCGCCCGGCCACAGCTGGCCCGGAGCAGGGCCTCGGGCCGGGATGGGGCGTCCAAACCGCCCGTCATGGAAAGTGCCAGAGATGGGGCCCGATAGAGCCGGCCGCCTTGCACAACCCTGGCCGAGTGCACCGGCTTTCTGGCCTCGGGGTGGCTTATCGGGGAGCTGATAGCGGCTCCTTCCTTCCTGCGGGCCGGGGCCAGCTCGGGCC